TGACAACGAAGGCTGCACTTTCATGTTCAATACCATGTTTTAATGGCTCTGGTAAATTTTTAGTACTGTTCAGGTTGCAGTCATTCACAAGTCGTTCTAGAAAAGGCTTTGTAATCGATTTTCGATCCAAAATACCGCCAAATTGAGATGCAGTAATCCTTGGTCTCCTTTCTTTCCACCATCGATTGCTACTGCGCTGTGAGACAGTGTCCTTTTCAAGTGCGGTGGCATCATTTTCGTTAAGTTGCAATGATTCGAGAAATTGTTGATGCTTTCACTGTCAAACCTTTCAGGCTGGCGTTATGGTCCCGAAGAAACTGCCTCAACTCGTTAACATGCATTTTCTCCACTGGCCTGTCCATGACTTTCTAATTTAACGTTCAAACTTTATAGAGAGAGAGCTCTGAAGACTTACAACACAAGCAACTGTGGCATAAAATTCACTCACATCGACAAAGGAAACAGAGACGAACTGGCCCTTAGCAACGGTCACTACCGAAAAGCCTCGCTTTCTTGTAGCGGCCGCCATATTTGCAATCGGTCTATTATGTAAAATATCTTGGCATACTCATTGACAAGAATCTTGAGTGGAAAACTCATATTGATCTCATTGGTTTAAAACAGAGCAAAACCATTGGTATGATAGCTAAACTGAGACACTTTGTACCCCTTTCTATCACTGTCAAGTTATACCAGTCTCTCATTCTTCCCTACCTTACTTATGGAATCAGCTCGTGGGGTCAAGCGTCACAGTCAACTTTGGATAAGCTTCCTATCCCTTAGAAGCGGGTTATTCGTTTAATAAACTTTTCTCCAAAGTGCGAACATGCTATTTCTTTTTTTATTAATGTTAATATCCTGTCTTTTCATTTTCTTTATGTCGAATCTGTTTCTTTTTTAATGTATGATATTCAAAATAAACTAGCTCCTCCCCGTATTCAAAATCTATTTACCTATGTCTCAGATATTCCTACAACACCAGATCAGCAACTACCACCAAAATTTTTTGTCATGTCCTCTCGTCTTGAACAACTTAAGAATTCATTTTCCCCCTTTGGCGTGCAAGCTATGGATTGCCTTACCTGACAGTATAAAAAAATCTTCCCATAGAAATTTACTTAATAAACGAATACATGAAACACTTTTTAATATATCTCAAAAAAGAAACGACAACTTTGAGTTTAAATTCTTAATGTCTTTACGTCTTAATGTCTTTAAATTCTTAATGTCTTTACGTCTTATTAATATCTTCAAACAACAGAACTCGCATCTTACACCATCTTCATTTATTGAAATAATTAAAAATTTGTAAACCTCATCAATCAGTATGACCAGTATAGCGAAGTCTCTTTCTATTTAACAACTATTCGGCAAAGGAGGTGAATATCGTCGAATAATCCCCGAGTCGAAGTCGAGGGGATTATTCGACAATATTCACTGAACCTGAGGCGAATAATTGTTTTAGTATTATTTCAGAGCTGAACAACAGAGAAATTTCTAAAATCATAACATTTTAGTAACATTCATTAACAGTTTTATTGTAACATTTTATGTAAACCGCGTGGAGCGGTTTATATAGCGTCATATAAGGAACCGCTCGACCAATCAGATTGCTGGAAACTCTTTGCTCAGCTCTGAAATTATACTAATTCCTGTTTTTATTATCATTAAATTAATTTTCTATTTTAGTTTTAATTTACTATTTATCGTAATTTGAACTACTGTTTTCTTAGTGTAATCTGAACTGCTGCCAATTCGAAATCTTTGTAAATACCTAGTGATAAGCCTAACTTAATTATGCCTACCCGCCTCGACTAGCTTTCAACTAATTGTGGGTAGGCACTTCTCAAATTGTAATGGTTGTAAATCAATAAATTGTTGTTGTTTTTGTTGTTGTTGTAACTGTAAAACTCGCCGCAATTTTTACAACAGAACATTCCACAAGATATATTTAAGCTACGTAAGATCAACCTATCCCTTTCAGTTTCCCGATGAAACGGTCGACAATCCACAACCTATCCCTTTCAGTTTCCCGATGAAACGGTCGACAATCCACAACCTTTTGAACAACATTTACAGCCTCGTTTTCGTGAACTCGGTTCCGGTCTCAACCGCGCGTTTGCCATTTTGAATAAGACGTTTAACTGCCGTTTTCTTCAAAAGTTGGGAGCTGAATAATCAGTCTTTGGAACTGATTTTCATTGTATTTTGCAAGAAGCGTCCAAGCTGTGATCGCGTATTGAAACGGAGCGAGTCCTTACAATGTGCTCACAAGCACGCTGGTTAACACCATGGTAAGCGTAACGATAGTCGTTATTTACAGTTTCAAATTCAAGAGCACATTTTTCACATATCTGTGTGCAGGACATTAATCTGTTTACGTAGTGTAACGGTTATTTTGTGTTGAATTTATTGAGTTACACCCACGGAATTTCATAGGTGAACATGAGCGAGAAATTCGTATCAACATCACAAATACATAAAGCTGAATTCCAGCGAAATGTTTTCACATTGTCAGTTTACAATTCACGAACCATGTCCATAACCTGCTTGAATATTTTCCCTTGAATTCATCGAGTTTCGCCCTCGTAATTTGAACAAGTGATTCGTATCAACACCACAAATGAGGCACATTTCAAACGTTTCATACGATTCTAGGCATATAAATTTAGGTAATATGCTTCTGCTCTATTTTATTTTAATTATTTTTTTATGTAAACTTTAAAATTTAATTTACTTCTTAAGCTGCTTACAAATAAATAAATTTTGTTTCAATTCAAGTGCGTGAGGATAAAACTGAATTGTTGCAGGGTTCTCTTTCCAAAGTAAACTCACGTGAACAAGTGTCATTCTTGATATAGACTGATTCTCCCAAATCTGCAATACTATTGCCCTGGCTTTTTAGGAAGCCTCCTTTGTACATCTGTGTGCTAGCCAATGATTAAAGTCTCATTAAAAAGATATGCCATATTTTAGCAGCTCTATTTTAATGAAATTCCATCTTTAATGTTTTTGGCATTTCCTGTTTGAAAATTTTTAAATGGCATTGCTGCTTCGTCCTTGTAAAGAGGTATTACACATTTCTATTTTTGAAACCCAAAGTCAACTTTATTTCAATGACTTTGGAATGTTATCCTACAGAGTGGAGTATGACACAGTTTTACTTATTTGCCATCTTTCTCATCCATATGACTATGTCTTAAAGTGGGGAAATGATTTATATTGTAATGATTAAAATCTACCTATGCTTTCAAATAAATGTATGAAATAATGATGTGATGAACAGCTGATGTTATGAAACACTTACAATGGGAAAACCTGCTACTGGTAGCCTTTGTGTTTAGTTTCTAAGCTGTCAGAGATAAGGAAGTGAACTACTTAAATTCTTACTGCGGAAGTTTTTTTTTTAGATTGAGGAGTGACAATCAGAATGATAGTGGCAGGAAAAACACAGTTAGGCTTTTCCCATCCAAATGCAAGCTTATTAAATCTTGGATTCTACAAGTAAACTTGGTGAGATAATCAGAGTAAAGTTATCCATATCTTACGTTTCAATGTGGTTTGCTCACATGGAAAGGCAGTTGTAATTATAGCTTCACAGATGTTTTTCTCATAAAATAGTGTTTCGATTTTGAATATAGGAAAATCACAGATGTGTATTGGAGTTTCATGAAATGTATGGAAGTGTTCCTCACAGTAATAATCCTACTTATCTAGTAGGTGGAAAGAAGGCCTGGAAAAAACTCAGTCCCATAGCTCAGTTGGTAGAGCACTGCACTAGAATCACAATGAATTTGAACATATGAAAATCATATTTGTGTACTGAAGTTTCATGAAATATGAACCAACATAATGACCAGCTCCCAGTTGGCTTGTTAGCTCAGTTGCTAGAGCACTGAAGGGGTTTTCCAACCACCAGCTAAGTAGGGTTATCGCTGCCAGGAACACCTTCATACAACTTTAAACTTTATTCCTTTCTCTTGAACATCAATTGCTGTTTCTGGAGCACAATCAAAGGAAGCTGGTTTTAAAAAAACTCTGGATTCAGTCAATTATATGAATATGTGAGTAATATTTGATGTTTTCCCATGAAACAGAATGGCTCAGCTGAAGACAGACCAAAAGGAGTAAACTTGACAGTAACAAAGGTGACTAACTGGGAAACTTGAGCACTTAGTAATTACTTCTTGGTTTGATATTCTGACAATTAGAGTTTACTGAGATCAATAAAATGTCCGTTCCTATACAGGAATGTACATCCCATGTGACCTGCACAGTCATGAACAATGAGATAACTGACAAAAATGTTTGTGTATTTGGTACATTGTAATGATGATAGTAACAATAAACACAAGAGTAAAGAAAAGAAAATATTATTTACAAATTCTAAATCTTAAGTTTAAGTATGTCAAGGGAAAAATAATCTACACGAACTGAAGGTAATACCCTGTATTTCGGTTTAAAGTCTGCAAAGAAACTGGTACGAAAAATGTCCAGCAGTGAATTGCATTGCTTAGCTGAAAAGTAAGAAAAGGAGTTAAGACCATAGGTAGTTGTTTTAGGTTTAGTAAGTGAAAAAATGTGGTTGCCACGAAGATTATAGGAAGAGGACCAAAGTGAATACATAATCTTCATCTAAGCAGGAAAATGAGTGAAAAAGAAACTGTTATATAACAGTGGGAGGAAATTCTGAACGCGCTTGTTACACAACGACGTAGAGTTGACTTTTGTAAGAAGAGTGGTGCATAGAGAGAAGTAATCTCCAGGTATAGATCTAAAAATTCCTTTATTTAGCACTTGAAGCTTATCCGGACCGCGCGCTCCGCAAAAGTGCCAGACAGAAGAGAATATACTCACATACATATGATGTATGTATGTATGAGAAATGATAAAAATGAGGTCAACTATACGCTTTTTAAAGTTTAGGTAAGATTTCCTTGTGTATGAGTTTTTTGATAGCGCAACATGACATTGAGTTGATTATTAATCTCTT